GTTAAGACCTATGTCTCATGTTGATGTTGTGTCTGTTAAGACTTATGTCTCTTGTTGATATAGTGTCTGTTAAGACTTATGTCTCATGTTGATGTTGTGTTTAAGACTTATGTCTCATGTGATGTTGTGTCTGTTAAGACCTATGTCTCATGTTGATGTTGTGTTTAAGACTTATGTCTCTTGTTGATGTAGTGTCTGTTAAGACTTATGTCTCTTGTTGATGTTGTGTCTGTTAAGACTTATGTCTCATGTTGATGTTGTGTCTGTTAAGACTTATGTCTCTTGTTGATGTTGTGTCTGTTAAGACCGATGTCTCATGTTGATGTTGTGTTTGAGACTTATGTCTCTTGTTGATCTTGTGTCTGTTAAGACCTATGTCTCATGTTGAAGTTGTGTCTGTTAAAACCTATGTCTAATGTTGAAGTTGTGTCTGTTAAGACTTATGTCTCCTGTTGATGTTGTGTTGGAGACTTATGTCTCTTGTTGATGTCGTGTCTGTTAAGACCTATGTCTCATGTTGAAGTTGTGTCTGTTAAGACTTATGTCTCCTGTTGATGTTGTGTTGGAGACTTATGTCTCCTGTTGATGTCGTGTCTGTAAAGACCTATGTCTCCTGTTGAAGTTGTGTCTGTTAAGACTTTTGTCTCCTGTTGATGTTGTGTTGGAGACTTATGTCTCCTGTTGATGTCGTGTCTGTAAAGACCTATGTCTCCTGTTGATGTTGTGTCTGTTAAGACCTATGTCTCATGTTGATGTAGTGTCTGTTAAGACCTATGTCTCATGTTGAAGTTGTGTCTGTTAAGACTTATGTCTCCTGTTGATGTTGTGTTGGAGACTTATGTCTCCTGTTGATGTCGTGTCTGTAAAGACCTATGTCTCCTGTTGATGTTGTGTCTGTTAAGACCTATGTCTCATGTTGATGTAGTGTCTGTTAAGACCTATGTCTCTTGTTGATGTTGTACTTAAGACCTATGTCTCATGTTGATATTGTGTCTGTTAAGACTTATGTCTCATGTTGATGTTGTGTCTGTTAAGACTTATGTCTCTTGTTGATGTTGTGTCTGTTAAGACTTATGTCTCATGTTGATGTTGTGTCTGTTAAGACTTATGTCTCTTGTTGATGTTGTGTCTGTTAAGACTTATGTCTCTTGTTGATGTTGTGTCTGTTAAGACTTATGTCTCTTGTTGATGTAGTGTCTGTTAAGACCTATGTCTCCTGTTGATGTCGTGTCTGTTAAGACCTATGTCTCTTGTTGATGTTGTGATGGAGACCTATGTCTCATGTTGATGTTGTGTTTAAGACCTATGTCTCATGTTGATGTTGTGTTTAAGACCTATGTCTCATGTTGAAGTTGTGTCTGTTAAGACCTATGTCTCATGTTGATGTTGTGTCTATTAAAACTTATGTCTCATGTTGATGTCGTGTCTGTTAAGACCTATGTCTCTTGTTGATGTTGTGATGGAGACCTATGTCTCATGTTGATGTTGTGTTTAAGACCTATGTCTCATGTTGATGTTGTGTTTAAGACCTATGTCTCATGTTGAAGTTGTGTCTGTTAAGACCTATGTCTCATGTTGATGTTGTGTCTATTAAAACTTATGTCTCATGTTGATGTAGTGTCTGTTAAGACTGATGTCTCTTGTTGATGTTGTGTCTGTTAAGACCTATGTCTCATGTTGATGTTGTGTCTGTTAAGACTTATGTCTCATGTTGATGTCGTGTCTGTTAAGACTTATGTCTCTTGTTGATGTTGTGTCTGTTAAGACCTATGTCTCCTGTTGATGTTGTATTTAAGACCTATGTCTCCTGTTAATGTTGTGTTTGAGACTTATGTCTACTGTTGATGTTGTGTTTAAGACTTATGTCTCATGTTGATGTTGTGTCTGTTAATACTTATGTCTCATGTTGATGTTGTGTCTGTTAATACTTATGTCTCATGTTGATGTTGTGTCTGTTAAGACTTATGTCTCTTGTTGATGTTGTGTCTGTTAAGACTTATGTCTCATGTTGATGTTGTGTCTATTAAAACTTATGTCTCATGTTGATGTTGTGTCTGTTAAGACCTATGTCTCCTGTTGATGTTGTATTTAAGACCTATGTCTCCTGTTGATGTTGTGTTGGAGACTTATGTCTCCTGTTGATGTTGTGTTTAAGACCTATGTCTCATATTGAAGTTGTGTCTGTTAAGACCTATGTCTCATGTTGATGTTGTGTCAGTTAAGACTTATGTCTCTTGTTGATGTTGTGTCTGTTAAGACCTATGTCTCATGTTGATGTTGTGTTTAAGACTTATGTCTCATGTGATGTTGTGTCTGTTAAGACTTATGTCTCATGTTGATGTTGTGTCTGTTAAGACTAATGTCTCTTGTTGATGTTGTGTCTGTTAAGACCTATGTCTCATGTTGATGTTGTGTTTAAGACTTATGTCTCATGTTGATGTTGTGTCTGTTAAGACTTATGTCTCCTGTTGATGTTGTGTTGGAGACTTATGTCTCCTGTTGATGTTGTGTTGGAGACTTATGTCTCCTGTTGATGTTGTATTTAAGACTTTTGTCTCCTGTTGATGTTGTGACTGTTAGAATGTACCCACCTCGATAGAAATAAACTCTTTTGGAAAATGAGTCCTTTTCACCTCTCAGTGAATGAATAGATGGTTATAGGTTAACTCGGCTTTGTAATAAAAAAATATCTGTAACGTCACAGCGTATCAGGTGGGAAGACTCGAAGTGTTTGAAGGCCCTCGCATCGTTGATGAAAGCTACGAGCATGACCCCGGTTCTATTACATGTTAATAATTGCACTTACATAGTGAATCTCCCACATTCACTGTGTTCAGCGCCCTATGCGAGGTGCACTGCTGGAGATTGAATACCACTCATCCACCGAACTGCGGAATAGTATATACATTAATTAGCTTCATTCAGCTGAAGGACATTTTAGTGACAGTACCGAGATTCAATAGACTTCACAGTATTGGTAGGTCAGTCTCGCTGACTTGGTTGATGCATGTCATCGTATACCAATTGCGAAGGTCGATGACCATGATATTAATCATATAGCTGGAATATACACTTACTTGTATGGAAAATTCAGTGTGCATCTTAACTGTTATTGAAGAAACACATAATTTATCTTCAAATGATCAAAACAGTGACATAATAACTACAGCTTTATTTCGGCTGTGGTTGTCTTAGAATAACATGAACAAAATTGTTTTTAATATAGCCATACTTATTGTTACTGATTACCCCGGTTAAAAAGGAAACAGTTTGTAACTTTATAGTAAATTTATGGTACCTAATAAAGTCGATATATTTTATTTAATACCATAGATACAAATATGAAAATTTTGAGCTCGATAGTCACATGTTGTCGGTGTACAAAAGCATTGAAAACTGTTCATTGTCATGTCACATAAGGCCACAAGGTTGCGGTGAACTCAGTATCTCGTATGGCCGTCCCGGGCAGTAATCACGGCTCTGCATCTCCTCGGCACTGACATGATAAGTGTACGAATTCTGTCCTGCGGAATTCAGCGACATGCTGCCTGTAACGCGATGGCCAGTTGTGGGTGTGTCTGTCTGCGGCGTGTTCAGACGTTGACGTACACGTCGATCGAGTTCATCCCAGAGGTGTTCGATTGGGTTGCGATCTGGAGATTTCGACGGCCTGGGCAAGACGTTGATGTTGGCATTATGAGTCTACCGTGACACGAGCTGTGTGCGGTGAAGCGTTGTCCTGTTGAAACAGCTCCCTCTGGCGGTCAATGATTGGAAGAAGGTCACGCTGAAGAATTTGATTCATGAAGCGATTTGCTGTCAAATTTCCCTGAACCACAACCAAGTCAGATCTCGTTATGTCATTTCCTCCATGTCATTTTTAAACAAGTGTCAAAACAATGCCTTTTAAGACAATGCATATTGACAATGGCTTCGTTTTGACGCACCGTTTGTCGAATATCAGGCCACCAACATTTTCCGATAACATATATCCAATTTATATACCGGAATTTTGTGTAGTCAGGTTCAATGAACTATATACTACCTATGCGTTTTTTGTTTTGAAGAGTGTATGAATGGTACAGAAATCAAAGTCATAAGCACCTAGGTATTACTTTACAAAGTAATTGTACATGGAAAATACACATTGACGATATTGGAAGGAAATGTTGTCCTCTGGTAAATTGTTTACGAAGTTATAAATATCGTCTCTCCCGAACTAACTTAGAAACTATGTACAAATCTTTTATTTTACCATTTTGATTATTGTTGTCATATTTGGGACAACAGTATTTATATACCTGATGTTTTGTGTCGTCAGAATCAATTAACTATATACTAACTGTGCGTATCTTCTTTCTTTTTTTTTTGTGGGGGGGGGGGGCGGTCGGGTAGCCTAGTGGTTAAAGCGTTCGCTCGTCACGCCGAAGACCCGGGTTCGATTCCCGACATGGGTACAATGTGTGAAGCCCATTTCAGGTGTCCCCCGCCGTGGTATTGCTGGAATATTGCTAAAAGCGGCGTAAAACCAAACTCACTCACTCACTTTTTTTTGAAGAGTGTAATATATTGGCAAATCAGTTGAGGCTGTTGAGTAGAGTGTAGTAATATACTTCAGTTTCAATAATTGTTTATTTCTCTTCAGTTGCATGAACAAGTCTGAAACAGATTGTGCTTTTCTAAATATAAACACCCTAGACACGACATCAACAAATTACAAAGTTAATAGTTTGTCCCTGTAAGTTTACAATCACTTGTTACAACATGTTACAGGAATCACACCAACCATCGTTATCGATATAGGCTAAACAATGAAGACGACTTCTGTGCCATGTGGGCTAGGGTGTGAACATATTCTGCAAACAACTGATAAGTGTGTACGTCTGGTTGAGCCCGTTCTGCATCAGGTGTGGTTTTAGGTAATCGCTTCAGTTACACCAACATTGAACAAGATATGAAGTATCCCGGATAACCACCTGTCCACGAATATAAAGCCTCAGTTACATTCTCGCACCATCCACACAGCGCGGCAAGACCGACCACCGGGAGAAACTTCACAATGAGACTCGCAACAGCATATGTGTTACTGTGCACACTGGTATCAGTTGTTGCAATTAGCTCTCCATGTCCACTGGGATTTGTGGAACACAACAACTCATGCTATTGGTTCTCCAAGGCATTGGCGAACTTTGTTGAGGCACGGGTAAGTTATCAACTCATGTGACAGGTAATTTCCTTGATTTTCATACCAATTCATTTCAATAAATATATACAAACTTTCCATTTCTTTATCCGAAGCAATGATAGGTTTGTAACTTGTTAGGTCACTATTGACATCAACACATTTCCGTTGACTTTCTTAACAATTTACTTGAGAATATTATTTTGAATTTGAGGTGCAGATTCTCGTGACAAAGTCGGCCCATTTAACTGGGGATGCCTTAAGGTTTATTGGAATTTGAAAACCACCGCCGCATTTTGTTTTGGAACTCTTCTGTGATTGGGAATCTTAAGGATAAGGTATCATGTATATCTCATTCATAGCATTGAATTGGAAACGTTTTGAGTAACTTTCGTTGAAGGTTAGGGTATCTGGAATGGCAGCTCTGGCTCCGTGTGTACTGGACTACTCCTGTGTTATCTTATATGTTTGTAAGAGCTAGCTCCCCGGATTTCAATTAAAAATGGTCATGTGTGGCTAAAATTAACTTTACCAGGGTCATTTTACTGGAAGTGCATAAAACCTTTTTCTTAAGGAAACTAAAGGCATTGTGTTTCCTATTTTAAATGTGTGTGGCATTTAGCTGGCGTTTTCCGAAATCGGAAGGGATGTTATTAACCACGAACTAACTGTAATTGTTTTATTGAGGTTGTTAGAAACGTTGAACCTTTTGGTTTCATCCTTATACTGCATTTGGCATAAGTTTTGCATATGTTTGGGCATAAGATTAGCTTTGTAATTAAGGTAGTTAGAGACAAAGGACTTTCTTTTTCAAAATTGTATTGCATTTGGCACGTGATGCCAAGAGAAAGTGATTGTAGCCATTTCTCTAAAGGAGTTAGATTGATTGGATTTTCTGTTTCAAAGTTGTACTGCATTTAGCATATGTTTACCAAAATACAAATGAGTTGTTTTACCAAACAGACGTGATGTGATTAAACTAAATCTGGAGGCACAGAACTTTGTTGTTCTACATTGCACTTCATTGAGGTAAAGATACCCCGGTGTTAGCAAAACATTGTATTTAGTGAGCTAGTGTTTATTCTTTATTTACAGGACATTAATCATCCCCACATACACAGGCCTGATTATATCTTTATCATATCAAGGTCGACAAAATCTCAAACGGTACCTGAACATTGTTTTCCTGGATTTCTTTCTGGACTAGGCACATGATTATATTTCATCACAAGCGAGGTGATAAGTCAGTTGGAGGGTGAGTCAGAAACATGTTTTTAGGACAGTGGCGTAACTACCATATAGACAAGTGCCTAAATTCGATTTTCAAGGTATTTTTCAAAAGCACAAAGGTCATTTTGTCCGCCTCTAGAGTGACTGCCATTTAGCAAAGGTAAGCAAGTATAGTTTACGTGGTCACATTGCATTGTCATAGCGTTACAGAATGCAGCCAGCAGCAGGCGTGAACAAGCACAAGTACGGAAACTGGTACCCTACTTATTTTCAGCATCTTCAGACTACTATTTCCTTCGTAATGATTACAGTTATCCTCGCAATTATCTCGATCGGCCCTTGCATATTGATCAGACCACAACACATATCGCATTTATCCGTTGTTGTATCCTGCCAAGAACCCACCAAAATGGCAAAGGCAGATATTGGTGGGGTAAGTTGTTACCTGATTTCGTAAACAGTTCATAACATATGTTTGTTTTTGGAATACTAAGTTTGGGGTATACTAAGGAAAAGGTTGGGATGGGATTGTTTCTGGTTTGAATATATACTGAACCGCAAAAGAAATGGATAGATATATGAGAAACCTTATTTGTCCAAACACTGTAGACATTCCTTGAGACATTAAAAAGATGAAACTTGGCAAAACTGATCATCAAGGTTGAAATTAAAGTGTCAAATGTTCTTAAAGTTAAACACAACACTAGTCTCTGAGAAAATGGCATCACAAGTCAGTATCTCGTGTGTCCGCCATTTGCAATGATGACTGCTGTGCAACGTTGATACATGGAATGGATGAGGCGGTTGATGAAGGCCACAGCCCACACTCTGAGGAACACCTAACGCAGTTCAGCTGCAGTTGTCAGCTTTGGTCGGACTTCATTCAGCCGTCTTTGAATCTCGTCCCACAGGTGCTCAATGGGATTTAAATCGGGACTGAGGGCAGGCCACTGCATGGTTCTGATGCCATTCTGCTGGAGAAAGTCTCTTGTTGCTCTCGCACTCTCAGCACGGGCCTTATCATGCTGAAACTCGTGGTTGGGGCGACGTGCCAAATTAGGTATGGTGTGTAGTGATCAATTTACCGAGCTGCTATGACACCATTGCCTCTCCCTGGACCGATGTTCTGGAAGACCACAGGGCCGACCCTCTGTGCAAGACCAATTCCACCCCAAACCATGATGCTCGGACCACCCAACGAGTCTCTCTCAACAACACAAGCATCCGAATAACGTTCCCCACGGCGGCGTCAGGCTCTGCCATCTGCTGTTTAGATACAGTAACGGCTCTCGTCTGAGAAGAGGACCCTTCTCCACTGCTGGTGGCGCCAATGCTGGTGCTGTGTTGCCCACTGACGACGGTCCCGGCGGTGACGTGGTGACAGAATGGGTCCTCGATGTGGCCTGTGACAATGGAGGTGTCTGCTCGTCAATCGTCGACGCATGGTGTCCGCACTAATGTGTCGCTGGTGTGTCTCCAGGTTCTGTCGAGCAGTTTCCGCAGCAGTAACAAAGCGATCTTGAAGATGTTGTCGCAAAATCTGACGATCCTGACGACGGGTGGTGACCCATATTCTTCCACTACGTGGTCGGTCATCTGTAGAGTTGGTGGTCTGGTACCGTTGCTGGAGCCTGTATATGGTCCTTACGTGGACTTGAAATGCATTGGCTACTTGCTGGGCGGTTTGTCCAGCTTGCAATAGTCTAAGGGCTTGGTGTCGCTAATTTCTTGTCAATCTTGGCACTTTGTAGCAATTCAATAACGAATGAATGTTATCCGATCTGGGTGGATTTTTATAGGGCAAGAAATGGGGGAACGCATGTGCATTTCAATTTGCACGGAACTCACGTGCATCGGGGTACCATGGCCGTTGCCGTGATGCGTTTGGGCGATCGGTTTTATTGTTATCTGCTTTGTTTTTTAATCATCAAATTTCATTTTTCCGGACAAGGTAATTTAAAATTTTAGAAACGATGACAGGATTTACCCAGACATTTTAATTACAACGTTTCATACAATTTTACTTGGGGTGACGTTTGTTTTGCGGTTCAGCAAAAGAAAGTAGGAGATCACCAATGTCTGGTAAGTGACCATTGTCAATCAGACTCGGTTGTCAGTAGACGCACATTGTTTTCTTGGAGCCAAACACCCAAAGATACTGTATTAAACACATTTAGAAAAGCATTACGGAAGCAACACTATTGATCATACGACGTTTGCAACGTGCTGGAAGTTTAGGTGTCACATGTATGTTGCAGACGGGCACACGTCAGAGCGCTGTTGCTCAAACGCTGCATGTCTCTCAACCTGTCATCTGCAGATTGTGTGCCCTACGCATTTAAGGTCGATGACTGACGCCTCTTGACGCCAAAGGGCAACAACTACATACCAGGACAGATTAGTCAGAACGATGACATCAAGAAATCGTTTGCAAACTGCCAATAAAATAAGGGACCGGTTGCAACAGGCAAATGGTTTAAGATTACTTTCCCATACGATGCAAAATCGTCCACACAGATGGCATTTCCGTGCACGACGTCCACGTGTCATCTCACAGAGCGTTGTACGGTACTGATCGTCAGCACTGGGATAAACGACGTCAGGATAATGTCATGTTTTCTGACGAATCGAGATTCACTCTCAACACGACCGAAGGCATCGATTTTGGAGACGTCCTAATGAGCGTTTTGTAGACGTAAACGTCGTACAGCATGACCGTGTTTTGGGTGGGTACATAGTTGTATGGGGTGGTATCACAATGACCTGCCGAGCTGCGCTCAATATTGTCTATGGAAGAGTCACAGGTCAGTACTATCGGGACAAAATCATTGCACCACTGGTTCGGACATTTTCACATGATGGGGAAGGTTTAACCTTTCGGGATGTAATGCGCTTGCTTATCTTGCCAATTTCTCCAGCAGCACAACACGCCATGTCATGCCATGGAATTCGTGCATGTCTGACCAACAAAGATTGTTTTACACGATATTAGTGACGTTGGCTGCAAAATGAATATTTCGAATTTGTCCCCGACCTTTTTAACGAGCAAGTGCGCCAACATCTCATCACGCCAACCCTTAAAACCCATAAGATCTGACTACCAACTCCGCAGCAGATATGGTTATACTTTTTCCATTTGCGAATACCTCATAAGTCAGAAGATATGTCTTGATGATTCTCACTATCCCCTACTATTTGGGCACAGTATATTTATAATCTCCCTTCTTCCATTTGATCATGTCTGTGGAGGTTGGGATACCATCGTGAATGAAGCAATGACACTTCATGCCAAATATCAGGATTAAAATGCCCATATGAATACATGTGTCTTTCCCGTCATTGTATATTCATGATTAGTCAAGCCAAACTCACCACACTCAATACCCAGTTGCAATGAATAGGCCCATATGGCATCATCGTCTACATTGACATTAGTTTATAGTGAGAGATAAACGTTATGCAGATTATCGATTCTGAAAATCATACTTTTCAAAACCAAAAGATAACATTTTCTGCACATTCCGTATTTATATTTATATATCAATTATTAGTAAATGTTCCCGAATGTCTTTATTCCATCAGCGATTTACTTCCAAATAATGGACGTCTTCATGTTGAAAGTAAATATAGTTTTAAATGTTGATGTGCTACTTTCAGTCCTTCTGTCAATCCTTTGGAAGTCACCTCGCTAAAGTGACCAGCAAAGTTGAAGATGACTTTGTCAGCGGCCATGCAGCCCGCCATGGAAAAGGTAAGTTAGAACAACATTAATATTGAGAGGAATAGCATCTCATACGTCATCATTGTTTATTCTTCCATGAATTTGGAATTTACTCGAGTCTGATTGGTCAATCAGAGGCTATTAAATCACAATAAACCCTGTCTGACTGAAACAGATGGTTTGACGGCCGCGGAAGCTAATATTCATAGAATAGTACTATTTACAGTTATTGTCGGTTGGCAGAATTTAAATAGTTATATCTACAGTTGCAGGTTACAAAATTCACAATTGCGGTTACAACAATATTCAAAGGATGTGTGGCTGCGCGTTCGGTTCCAAATTCAATTTAGAGCGGTTATCTACATGTAGCCTAGCTCTACATCGCCTAATTCAAGCACTTATTTATCTCCTAAATAGCAGGTGCACCCTACTTATCTCCAGGAGTTTCTTTTGATATCGAATACCTCAACGAGTGTTAATATCTTTGATATCAAAAGACACGAGGGTGAGATTTTAATAATCATCCAAAATCATTCTTCTTTTTCAGTTTTTAAACAATAATAAGTGTCTTAAGTGTAAAAAGTACTGCTAACAGCTTCACACGCAGAGCCATTATTGATGTCATTTCATTGTGACGCCATGGTAACCAATGACGTCACAATGGTCTGCAAAGCATTGTGAAGCAATTTCATTGCAGCGATATCTACAATGTTGATATCGCTTGATCTCACCGAAGCGATATCTCCAATGGGAGCCAGTTTTGGATGATAAATATCATTACTGTAACGGTTAAATGACACATCTACTTTCTATCTCAATAAAAAAGTTTATGCTTTTACGACACAGCTGTTACGTGTTATTGTGATCTACGCGAACGGCATTGAGATCCGAAATGTTTTAATACGAATCCATCCTCCCATCTTCTTCTTCATTGCAGCGGCGAACTACTGGCTTGGTGCCACCGACCTGAACGTAGAAGGAACATGGCTCTGGGAGGGCCAACAGGCCATGAATTACAGCAACTGGAGTAGGGACCAACCTGATAATTTTAGTGGGGGGGAACACTGTCTGCATATCAAACAGATACTTGAAAACTATCTGTGGAATGATGAAAAGTGTAATATGGCGGCGAACTTTATTTGTGAGAAGGAACTCTGAAGGTACATGTAGCTACCATCTCTGCCACACTTCGCAGCAAATGACGTAATAATGTTGAGAATTGAATAAAATGTTATTCGTCTTCACATTCTTTTGAACAGGCTAAACACCTGTGTCTTGGTATCAATATATGCTTTCCACGTTTCATAGCCGTCAACACAAATATTTTACCTTTCTGCAATCTCACACGAATATACATCACGTGTCGCAGCCTCTCTGAAATCATTGTGCTCAATAGGCCACACGCAGCACACCACCACACCCATCACACCACCACACCACAACACCCATCACACCACCACACCCACCACACCACCACGCCCACCACGACGACACACAACAACACCATCACACTAACCACACCACCACACCCGTCACACCACCACACCCATCACACCACCACACCCACCACACCACCACGCCCACCACGACGACACACAACAACACCATCACACTTACCACACCACCACACCCGTCACACCACCACACCCATCACACCACCACACCCATCATACAACCATACCCCTACATCAATCACAGCACTAAATCATCACACACATCACACCACCACACCACCACACCACCACACCCATCACACCACCACACCATCGCAACAACACACCAATCACACCCATCGCACCACCACATATTCACACCCATCACACCACCACACCCATCATACCACCACACCACCACACCCATCACACCAATCACACCACCACACCACCACACCCATCACACCACCACACCATCGCAACAACACACCATCACACCCATTACACCACCACATATTCACACCCATCACACCACCACACCCATCATACCACCACACCACCACACCCATCACACCAATCACACCATCACACCACCACACCAATCACACCAATCACACCACCACACCATCGCACCATAACACCAACACACCATCACACCCATCACACCACCACACCAATCACACCACTACATGATCACACCAATCACACCACTACATGATCACACCAATCACACCACCACACCAATCACATCAATCACACCACCACCTCATCACACCTATCACACCACCACACCATCGCACCGCAGCACATACGCACCACCACACCAATCACACCACCACAGCACATACGCACCACCACACCAATCACACCACCACACCATCGCACCACCACATCATCACACCCATTACATCACCACAGAATCGCACCACCACACCAATTACACCACCACATCATCACACCCATCACACAACCACACCATCATACCACCACACCATCGCACCATAACACACCTTCACACCACCACACCATCACAAAAGCACACCACCACAACATCATACCTATCACACCACCACACCACCACACAACTACACCATCACACCGCACCACAAATCACACCACCACACCACCACACCAATCACACCAATCACACCACCACCTCATCACACCCGTCACGTCACCACACCATCGCAACACAACACCACAGCACATACGCACCACAAAACCAATCACACCACCACAGCACATACGCACCACCACACCAATCACACCACCACACCATCGCACCACCACATCATCACACCCATCACATCATCACACCCATCACACCACCACAGAATCGCACCACCACACCAAACACACCACCACATCATCACACACTTCACACCACAGCACCACCATACCACCACACCCATCACACCACCACACCATCATACCACCACACCATCGCACCATAACACACCTTCACACCACCACACCATCACAAAAGCACACCACCACACCATCATACCCATCACACCACCACACCACCACACAACGACACCATCACACCGCAACACCAATCACACCCACAACACAACCACACCACCACACCACCACACCCATTACACCACCACACCACCACACCATCGCACCACCACACCCATCACACAACCACACCCATCACACCAATCACACCACCACACCACCACACCAACCAACCACTCACACCCATCACACCACCACACCATCATACCCATCACACCACCACACAATCACACCACCACACCATCATACCAATCACACTACCACACCATCACACCACCACACCCATCAAACCACCACATCACCACACCACCAAACCCATCACACCACCACACCATCATACCAACACTCTATCGCACCAAACCATCATACCACCACACCATCACACCACCACGTCATCACACCACCACACCACCACACCACCACACCCATCACACCAACACACCATCATACCAACACTCCATCGCACCACACCATCATACAACCACACCATCACACCAAAACATCATAACACCACCGCACCATCAAAACCATCGCACCGACACATCCATCACACCACCACACACATCACATCACCACAGCACCACAGCACCACATCACCACACCGAACATACCTTAACACCATCATACCGCGACACCATCGCACCACCACACCATCATACCACCACACCGTCACACCACCACGTCATCACACCTCCACACCATCACACCATCGCACAACCACACCATCATACCTATCACCCCATCACACCACCACACCATGACACCACCACACCCGTCACACCACAAAACCACCACACCACCAAACCCATCACATCCAAAACGCCATCATACCACCACACCATCACACCACCCCACCATCATACCACCACACCATCACACCACAACACCTCCACACCATCATACTCATCACACCATCACACCATCACACCACCATACCATCACACCACCACACCCATCACACCACCACACCACCACACCACCACACCAACACACTACGACACCACATCACCCATCACACCACCACACCGCCACACCGCCATACCACAACACCATCACACCCACGCACCACCACACCCATCACACCACCACACCCATCACACCACCACATCATCACACCCATCACACCACCACACCAATCACACCACCACACCAATCACACCAATCACACCACCACACTATCACACCACCACATCATCATACCCATAACACCACCACACCATCACACCACCACACCACCAAAACCCATCGCACCACCACACACCCACACCCAACGCACCACCACACCAATCACACCACCACACCACCACACCAATCACACCAATCACAACACCACATCATCACACCCATCACACCACCACACCATCGCACCACAACACCACAGCACATACGCACCACCACACCATCACACCACCACATCATCACACCAATCACATCATCGCACCCATCACATAACCAATCAATCGCAACACCACAACAATTACACCACCACACCATCGCACCACCACACCACCACACCCATCACACCACCACACCAATCACACCACCACACCCACCACACCACCACACCCATCACAACACCACATCATCACACCTATCACACCACAACACCCATCACACCCATCACACCGAATACATTACCGCACAATCATACCCATCACACCACCACAACACCACACAACTACACCATCACACCGCAACACCAATCACACCCACAACACAACCACACCACCACACCACCACACCACCACACCACCACACCACCACACCATCGCACCACCTCACCTATCACACTACCACACCATCATACCCATCACACCACCACACCCATCACACCAATCACACCACCACACCACCACACTACCACACCAATCACACTTATCACACCACCACACCATCATACCCATCACACTACCACACCATCACACCACCACACACATCACACCACCACATCACCACAGTACCACACCACCACAACCATCACACCTTCACACCATCATACCAACACACCATCGCACCACCACACCATCATACCACCACACCATCACACCACCACATCATAACACCAACACACCATCACACCATCGCACCAACACACCCATCACACCACCACACCACTCACATTACCACAGCACCACAGCACCACACCACCACACCCTTCACACCATAACACCATCATACCGTCACACCATCGCACCACCACACCATCACACCATCGCACAACCACACCGTCATACCTATCACACCATAACGCCACCACACCATCACACCACCACACCGGTCACACCCAAAACACCATCATACCACTACACCATCACACCGCCACACCATCATACCACCATACCATTACACCACCACACCTCCACACCATCATACCCATCACACCACCACACCGTCACACCACCATACCATCACACCACCACACCCATCACATCACCACACCACCACACCAACAAACTACGACACCACCACACCACCACACCCATCACAGCTCTACACCGCCACACCGACACACCGCCACACCAACACACCATCACACCAACGCGCGACCACACCCATCACACCACCACATCATCACATCATCACATCATCACACCCATCACACCACCACACCAATCACACCACCACATGACCACACCAATCACACAACCACATCATCATACCCACCACACCACCACACCACCACACCATCGCACCACCACATCATCACACCACCACACACCCACATCCATCGCACCACCACACCAATCACACCACCACACCACCACATGATTCACACCAATCACACCACCACCTAATAAAACCCATAACACCACCACACCATCGCACCACAACACCACAGCACATCAGAACACCACATCATCACACCTATCACACCACAACACCATCACATAATTACCGCACAATCATACCCATCACGCCACCACACCACCACACAACTACACCATCACACCGCAACACCAATCACACCCACAACACAACCACACCACCACACCACCACACCGTCGCATCACCTCGCCTATCACACTACCACACCATCATACCCATCACACCACCACACCCATCACACCAATCACACCACCACACCAATCACACTAATCACACCACCACACCATCATACCCATCACACTACCACACCATCACACCACCACACACATCACACCACCACATCACCACAGTACCACACCACCACAACCATCACACCTTCACACCATCATACCAACACACCATCGCACCACCACACCATCATACCACCACACCATCACACCACCGCATCATAACACCACCAC